GATGAATTAGGAAGTGAACAATCGTGTAGTCTCGCCTCTACTTTAGTCTTCATTCAAAATATAAAATTAGTTCGATGTCCAAAACCTTCATTCATGGTGCAGTAGCTAGTACGTGTAAAGTGTACAGGTGTGTATATTTCCTCTACACTCGTGGTATACATAGCTTGTATAACGTATCGACTAAACAAGCGCGTGAGAAGAGACCACCTCACTCCAGCCTCGAGGCCATTAACGTCACGCCACTCATCGTACGCCCTACAGCGCTACTGCATTATTTACCTACTGCCATACGCCCGGTGGAAAGTATCGTACGTGCGAATTATACGGATTTTATTTCAATTCATCCACTAATCCTTTATCATTTACCTAATGGACGATTACAGTGGTGGATTATACACCTACACTCTTACAGACACACGGGTACACCTAGGCTACACCCAGCTAATCTTTTTTTAACACTTGGCGCATCAGAAACTAAATATTAATAAACGAGAGAGGTATACCAGGCTTAAGGAAAGACCCACATTTTTCACCCTAATGTACAGGAGTTATAGAGTCTATTATGCCTTGATATATAGACGTTGGTTTAAGATTCTAATCCATGCGTATGAATCATTTATTACGCATTATTGATGAGCGTGTTGGCGGTGATACGGGGAAGCTCAGATAGATGACTTAGTGAAGAAAATTATAATACGGTTTAGTTACGTGTTAAAGAACCAGGTAAACTGTTCTAATTTTTATGGTTAATTGCAGGTAGATGATTAATTAGGTCATAAAGGTGAAGTGAAGTGTTAGAGTAGAGGGAATCTTATAAGTAGTGATTGATAAAGGAGGAATGTAGGTAAGGGTTGATGAAGGAGGAATTAAGAAGAAAAAGAGTTGAATTGGTTTTTGATAATGATGTGGAAATTATGTTGATAAGGAGAAGTACAATTACACCTTTTACACCTGAATGGATTATAGAGAGTAATTCGGATTATTAGATTATTCCCTTAATTTATTTCACCAGATGATTATACACCTTAGTGCTAATATAACCTAACCTAACTTATCCTAACCTAACCTAACCTAACCTAACCTAACCTAACTTATCCTAACCTACTCTGACCTAAGCCAACCTAACCAAACCTAATGCTAATACAACCTAACCTAACCTAACCTAGCTTACTTTGATTTTCAGATACGTTCTTATGGGTAAAATAATTAACAGCTTAAATAATAACGATAATAAATACTAAACAGGTAACAGCAGCACTAATTAATATTCTCACAATTACTCCTATCCAATTTCAATTAAGTTTATTATTGGAAATTTTAATAATACGTAGCTTTAATTGGACTAACGTGAATTAAGCTACCCGTCAATATCATTAGTATTGTTATGGTTCACTCTGTGCCTGTATTTTTTTTCTGTGTAATTAAATTAACATCAATAACCTTAACTATTATTTCCTCAACTCTAAATTAGTAAATATCATAAGGTTTAAGTTCAATATCTAATATACTATAGGACTAGACGTGTGTCTGTCTGTCTGTCTGTCTGTCTGTCTGTGTGTCTGTTCTGGGCAGCCGAAACGGCACAATCGTTTTTCATCAAACTTGGTGGAAAAATCCCAAAAATTCGTTGAGTGGAACAAACCTGGTCCCATGTCGATGGTTTCTTTAGGAAGGCATTAATTAACAATTTTATTTACGATGGAAAACGATGCAAGTCTACGGACTTAGCGCACCTCATTCACTGTCGCTCACCAAGCCGCAGCGCTCAAACTTTCACCGGGCACGAAGGGCCAGCGATCACTTGTCTAAATCCTATGAATCTTACGATTCAATGCCTTTAAAAATAGTAACTTATTCTTTAATTATTCATTTACATTTCTTACATACACCCAATCATCAACCATTATACTATTCTTCTATTTACTCTAATTTCCTCTTTGGTTTTCTCTTTATTTTCACACTTTATTCATATTTACTCCATTTTATTTATTATATTCCCTTTAGGTCGTCAGTTTATCTTCATTCTCTTATATTAGTTAAGTAAATTATAATACTTTCTTGTTTATCTTGGGAGGAATATATAAGACTCATTTGTTACCCGAGGCTTTGTTATGAGTGGGGAGAGAAGGTAGGGAGAGGAGAGAGAGGGTAGGAGAAAGGAGGAGGTGAGGAGGAATGGTGATAATGGATGATGAGTGAGGAGATAGAGTGGTAGGTGGGGTGGGGGGGAGGAGAAGGGAGGGAGCAGGGAGAGAGGATGATGAGAAAGGACGAAAGAGAGGGCGAAGAGGAAGGAGGTGCCAGGAGGGAAGAGGGGGGAGGACAGGGGAGAGGGAGGAAGCTGAGAGAGAGGAGGAGTTGGGAAGAAAGTTGGGGAGAGAGAGGGTTGGAGAGAGGGAGGGAGGGAGAAAGGTAATGAATGATGAGGCAAGCAAGACAAGATGGTATGAGGGAGAGAGAGACAGGGACAAAGTAGGAGGGAAGAGGACATTATGGATGAGAGGCAGAAGGGTAATGAATGAGAGGTGAACACGACGAAGATATGAGGGGAGGAAGAGAGAGAAGAGAAGAGAAGAGAAAGGGGAGGATGGAGGATAGAGAGAAGAAGGAGGATGGAGGAGAGAGAGGAGAAGAAGGAAGGAAGGAGAGGGATGAGAAGAGGGAAAGGAGAGAAAGAAAGAAAGAGTGGGGGGAGAGGGATAGAACTGATGAAAGATGTGGACGAGAGATAAGGGACAGGATGACTGAAGCACCTCAGAGACGATCAAAGAATAGTTGGTCCTGAGAGATAAGAGACGAAACAGGGGTAGAGAGCACTGGACACCCAAATGTAACCGGGAGCCATTAGAACTTATGGTCGCTGGAGATAAAGTGTTCTCTCTCTCTCTCTCTCTCTCTCCCTGCACAACATCATGGTGTCGGGTTTATGGGTCTCCAAGTGTCTCATATGTGTTTCTGGTCCGTGTGTCCTCGAGGGGGAGGCTGTCTCATATGTGTCTCTCGCCCACATGTCTCTTATGAGGGTCTGGCCGTGTTGTGTGTGTGTGTGTGACGGGGAAATGGCCATCTATGGTGATGACAGACATACATACAGACAGACAGACAGACACACACACACACACACAAAACACACAGTTATACATACATACAGACAGACAGACAGACACACACACACACACACAGATACAGACAGACAGACAGACACACACACACACACACCTTAACTGGTCACTTGAAGAAAATAGTGAGAAAATTACATCCAAAATGGCTTCAGAATTAACTTAAGAGTCTACCTTAATAAGTTCACTCAACACCAATTAGGAGAAGAAATTAGGGTACAGTGTGTGTGTGTGTGTGTGTATGTGTGTGTGTTTATTTTATGTATGTATGTATGCATGTATTTTATGTATGTATGTATGAATGTATGAATGTATGATCAAAGACTCTCAAATCCCACAGTCTGGTAATACAGCAAAAATGAGCTTCTCATTATAAACAGATGAGAGAGAGAGAGAGACTACGAGTGCGTCTCCTAAAAGAAGAATAATTAGCAACATGAAAGGTGAGCCTCTTTAAAACACCCCTAAGAGGCTTAACGATACCGTCTACTTGTGAGGAGTCTTGACACATGTTCCCTCACTAAACACCATTAATGACCTCATACATACATACATACATACATACATGCATACATACATACATACATACATACATACATAGGGGTGTAGGGAGGAGGGGGTGGGAAGAGGGAAGGAAGACGTTTCCAGAAGTCGCCTTTTTTAACTATGGAGCTGAGAGGAGGGTGGAGGGGTGGAGAGGGGGGAGGAAGTGGAGTAAGGTGGAGGAGGTGGAGTAACGTGGAGGAGGTGGAGTAACGTGGAGGAGGTGGAGTAACGTGGAGGAGGTGGAGTAACGTGGAGGAGGTGGAGTAAGGTGGAGGAGGTGGAGTAAAGGTGGATGGTAAGGTTCATAGAGACGATCATACTCTGTTTACCTTCCCTCTTTCATCTCTTGTGTGTGTATGATAGTCTCTCTCTCTTCTCTCTCTCTCCCACTGACTACCCTACATGAATAACATTGAAGAAGAGAGAGAGAGAGAGAGAGAGAGAGAGAGAGAGAGAGAGAGAGAGAGAGAGAGAGAGAGAGAGAGAGAGAGAGATCCTGGCCCCAGTCACCACATATAACTCAGACTTCAATACCCCGTAAACTGAGATGGAGCGTTGGTCGAGGCTGAGCCAACAGCAGGGAGAAGATGGACCAACAGCAGGGAGAAGATGGACCAACAGAAGGAGAAGATGGACCAACAGAGGAGGTGGGACCAACAGAAGGGAGAAGATGGACCAACAACAGGGAGAAGATGGACCAACAGAAGGAGAAGGTGGACCAACAGCAGGGAGAAGGTGGACCAACAGCAGGGAGAAGATGGACCAACAGAAGGGAGAAGGTGGACCAACAGCAGGAGAAGATGGACCAACAGCAGGGAGAAGGTGGACCAACAGCAGGGAGAAGATGGACCAAAGGGAGAAGGTGACCAACAGCAGGAGAAGATGGACCAACAGCAGGAGAAGGTGGACCAACAGAAGGAGAAGGTGGACCAACAGCAGGAGAAGATGGACCAACAGGAAGGAGAAGGTGGACCAACAGAAGGGAGAAGGTGGACCAACAGAAGGAGAAGATGGACCAACAGGAAGGAGAAGATGGACCAACAGGAAGGAGAAGATGGACCACAGCAGGAGAAGGTGGACCAACAGAAGGAGAAGGTGGACCAACAGAAGGGAGAAGATGGACCAACAGGAAGGGAGAAGATGGACCAACAGCAGGGAGAAGATGGACCAACAGGAAGGAGAAGATGGACCAACAGGAAGGAGAAGATGGACCAACAGCAGGGAGAAGGTGGACCAACAGAAGGAGAAGATGGACCAACAGCAGGGAGAAGGTGACCAACAGCAGGAGAAGATGGACCAACAGGAAGGAGAAGATGGACCAACAGGAAGGAGAAGATGGACCAACAGCAGGAGAAGGTGGACCAACAGAAGGGAGAAGATGGACCAACAGGAAGGAGAAGATGGACCAACAGGGAAGGAGAAGATGGACCAACAGCAGGGAGAAGATGGACCAACAGGAAGGAGAAGGTGGACCAACAGCAGGAGAAGATGGACCAACAGAAGGAGAAGATGGACCAACAGGAAGGAGAAGATGGACCAACAGCAGGGAGAAGGTGGACCAACAGAAGGAGAAGATGGACCAACAGAGGAGAAGGTGGACCAACAGAAGGGAGAAGATGGACCAACAGGAAGGAGAAGATGGACCAACAGAAGGGAGAAGATGGACCAACAGAAGGAGAAAAGTGAAGTCACTTGTCTCTACCTAAGGACGATCACCTGAAGATTAACCACCCTAGCTTATTTACATTGATAATTAAAGACCCTAAGACTATGTATGTATGTATGTATGTATGTATGTATGTATGTATGTATGTATGTATGTATGTCAAGCTGTAACTCGATTCCTCCCTCAACTCGGTAAAGTTTCTTGACACTCCTTGTTTAGTATTCGTGTGTGTGTGTGTGTGTGTGTGTGTGTGTGTGTGTGTGTGTGTGTGTGTGTGTGTGTGTGTGTGTGTGTGTGTGTGTGTGTGTGTGTGTGTGTGTGTGTGTGTGTGTGTGTGTGTGTGTGTGTGTGTGTGTGTGTGTGTGTGTGTGTGTGTGTGTGTGTGTGTATGTGTGTGTGTGTGTGTGTGTGTGTGTGTGTGTGTGTGTGTGTGTGTGTGTGTGTGTGTGTGTGTGTACAGTGCCTAGTTCCCAGAAAATAGTCAAAAGAATACCCAGAACAGAGCCACTGAAATATTCGTTTTATATTTTATATTTTTTGTTCATACATACATACATACATACATACATACATACATACATACATACACAGAGGAACACGTACAGGACTGCAAAGTTTTGGTACGAGTCTGTTCGCGACGTGATGTGGAGACAGACAGACAGACAGACAGACAGACAGACAGACAGACAGACAGAAAGATAGAGAGAAACAAAGAAACAGACATAGAGAGAGAGAGAGACAAGAGAAAGAGAGGTCAATTATGTCACACAATATACTGAGGAATGTCGCCTGATAACTTATCGCCGAGAGATATAGAGATAACGATAACAAGATGGCGGCAGAGATAAGGTGTGACTCAGGTACAGAACGTTAATTAATTTCCTCGAGTATCTCAAGTACATGATTTTGTATCTCTGGGCTTGTAAGTACAGTACATTTGTGTGTACATTGTAATACCGTAATGCTCTGTACTCTCCTTATGTGACCGGTTTTTAGGTTCAATCATACACACATTGATACTGATATGACGTCATGGCGTTATGAATCCACGCTGTTATGACGTCACTGTTATGAGAACACTGTGTTATGACGTCACTGTGTTATGGCGTCACTTATGAGAACAGTGTGTTATGACGTCACTGTGTTATGACGTCACACTATCATGACGTCACACTGGAAAGACGTCATAACACACACACACACACACACACACACACACACAGGAGCAGGTGGTGAGGCAGTAATAAAGAGGGAAGGAAAGGCGAAGTGAGAGGGGGGAGAGGGAGAGGTGAGAGGGGAGAGAGGATGAAAGCGGACATAGGAAAGGGGGAAGAGGAACACAGGAGACGAACAGCTTAATTATACCTGATAGAAGAGGATGGTGAAGGAAGGAAGGAAGATAGAGGAAGGAAACAGTAGAATAGGAGGAATGAAGGAAGATGAATGAAGAAGAGGAAGAATGGGAGGAAAATGAGAGGGAAATTGGAGAGGTGATTGTGCTTTATGAGAGTGGGAGTTAAAGAGATGAAACCCCTCTCACTTCTCCCTCTCAGTAGCCCCTCTTAATGCCCTCTCCCTCTCTCTTACTCCTCTCACTGCATCCCTTTCATCTCTTATACTTACCACTCCCTTTTAGTTTTGCCCTTTCACTCCCCTCTTATACCTCCCTCTCATCTCATTCTCACCCGACCCCTCTCATCCATGCCCTGTCACTATACCACACCTGTCACTATACCACACCTGTAACTATGCCGTCACTATACCACACCTGTCATTATACCACACCTGTAACTATGCCGTCACTATACCACACTTGTCATTATACCACACCTGTAACTATGCCGTCACTATACCACACCTGTCATTATACCATACCTGTAACTATGCCGTCACTATACCACACCTGTCACTATACCACACCTGTCACTATACCACACCTGTAACTATGTTGTCACTATACCACACCTGTCACTATACCACACCTGTAACTATGCCGTCACTATACCACACCTGTCATTATGCCATACCTGTAACTATGCCGTCACTATACCACACCTGTCATTATACCATACCTGTAACTATGCCGTCACTATACCACACCTGTCACTATACTTTTAGCGTTAGTGTTATACTAATCTGCATAATCAAGTTGTGGGAACCAGCTAATTTGCATACTCAGTTCAAACACGAAAGGAATATAATTTTTCTTTTTTTTAATATGAGAGAAAGACAATAAGTATTTTTTTATTATATTTTATTTATTCATTTTTTATTTTTTTTTTAAATATTGAAATTTTAAGTTCTTTGGAAGGGACAGTTTTTAGGTTGGTACATTTTAAGTATTTTTAAGGAGTTTTAGGAACCAGAACTTAAATTCCTAAAACTTTTTTGGGGGGGTTTAGAACACACTTAGGGGTGGTCAGTCTTAGGGGTGGTCACTCTTGAGGGTGGTCAGTCTTAGGGTGTAGTCGCCTTAGGGGTGGCCACTTGAGGGTGGCCAGCCCAGGGTGGTCAGCCTGGGGTGTCGCTCTTTTGAGGGTGGCTCAGTCTTAGGTATTGGGTCTTAGGGGTGGCTGTCTTAGGGTGGCCAATTAGGGGTACGTCTTAGGGGTGGTCAGTCTTAAGGGTGGTCAGTCTTAGGGCCTGAGGGAGGGTAAGGTGAAGCTCCCTGGAGGGTGTGGTCAGGTCACCCTTGTCTCCCTCCTCACCAACTTTGAATTAGTTTCCGGGTTGGGCAGAGTATGTCTTGCTTATCTCTCCCTCCCTTCTCCTCTCCCTGTCTCCCTCCTCTCTCTCCCTGTCTCCCTCCTCTCTCTCCCTTCTTTCTCTCCCTATCCTCCTGTCTCCCTCCTCTCTCTTTCTCCCCTCTTTCCCTGTGTATTGTTTATTCTCCTGTTTCTCTTCCTTCCTTCTCTCCTTATCTCCCTTGACTCTGTCCCTCCCTTCTGTCTCTCTCCCTCCCTACCTTCTCTCCTCCCCTTAGTACATGGAAAGACTCTCAGCAGATGTGAACCTTTGAACTGCCTCAACACATATTTAACTAATTAACAAGATGTACCATATTTAACCTCATTATAATGCAATTAGTTCGTAGTACTTGTCATGTTACGTATAAATTATCCCATTAGGCGTGTATTACCTGCCTAATGCTACAGGTAAGAAGTCTTTTGTGGATTAGGGGCTCTCAGAAACCCTCACGTGTGCTTCAGTGTTCAGGAATATATGAAGGTTGAACACGCAGGTTAATTTCAGGTATTTGACTCAATTTACTCTGATACCTTGAGAGGGTCAGTTCTACCTGTGTGTGGATGAGTTAGGTTATGTTATGTTAGTTTAGGTTAGGTTATGATTCACTCTTTCGTGAAGGTCAAAGTTCATTTCACCTAAACAAAGAAGAGAGAAAGAAATATCACTATTAACTTATGTTCTTATATTACACTTAGGAAAAACGACAAAATAAAGAATTTGACTAACGATTATTTTTAGCTAATACATATACTGTATATCCTGCCAGGTGAGTTAATATACCTACACTACCTATATCCTGCCCGGTGAGTTAATATACCTACACTACCTATATCCTGCCAGGTGAGTTAATATACCTACACTACCTATATCCTGCAGGTGAGTTAATATACCTACACTACCTATATCCTGCCAGGTGAGTTAATATACCTACCCTACCTATATCCTGCCAGGTGAGTTAATATACCTACACTACCTATATCCTGCCAGGTGAGTTAATATACCTACACTACCTATATCCTGCGGGTGAGTTAATATACCTACACTACCTATATCCTGCCAGGTGAGTTAATATACCTACACTACCTATATCCTGCCAGGTGAGTTAATACCCCACACCCTACCTATATCTGCCCAGGTGAGTTAATATACCTACCTACCTATATCCTGCCAGGTGAGTTAATATGCCTACACTACCTATATCCTGCCAGGTGAGTTTAATATACCACCACACCACACCTATGTCACTGCCAGGTAAGTTAATATACCTACCCTACCTACTGTCTCCTGCCAGGTGAGTTAGCTATACCCTACACTACCTATATTCACCAGGTGAGTTAATATACCTACACTACCTATATCCTGCAGGTGAGTTAATATACCTACCCTACCTATATCCTGCCAGGTGAGTTAATATACCTACCCTACCTATATCCTGCCAGGTGAGTTAATATACCTACCCTACCTATATCCTGCAGGTGAGTTAATATACCTACCCTACCTATATCCTGCAGGTGAGTTAATATACCTACCCTACCTATATCCTGCAGGTGAGTTAATATACCTACCCTACCTATATCCTGCCAGGTGAGTTAATATACCTACCCTACCTATATCCTGCCCGGTGAGTTAATATACCTACCCTACCTATATCCTGCCAGGTGAGTTAATATACCTACCCTACCTATATCCTGCCAGGTGAGACCTACACTACCTATTCCTGCCAGGTGAGTTAATATACCTACTACCTATATCCTGCCAGGTGAGTTAATATACCTACACTACCTATATCCTGCAGGTGAGTTAATATACCTACCCTACCTATATCCTGCCAGGTGAGTTAATATACCTACCCTACCTATATCCTGCCAGGTGAGTTAATATACCTACCCTACCTATATCCTGCAGGTGAGTTAATATACCTACCCTACCTATATCCTGCAGGTGAGTTAATATACCTACCCTACCTATATCCTGCAGGTGAGTTAATATACCTACCCTACCTATATCCTGCCAGGTGAGTTAATATACCTACCCTACCTATATCCTGCCCGGTGAGTTAATATACCTACCCTACCTATATCCTGCCAGGTGAGTTAATATACCTACCCTACCTATATCCTGCCAGGTGAGGTCTCTACACTGGTCAAATGGTGAAGGATTTTAACCACAGGATAAATATATACACTACACACAAAGACACATCTCATTATATCCTGCCTTGATTGCCTCTTTCATGCTCAGGTGTACAGCAGGTAATAAGGATAATTAACCA